TCTGGGTGTCCCTGCTGGAGCAGGGGGTTGGACTAGATCTTCTCTAGAGGTCCCTTCCAACCTTGAACGTTCTGTGGTTCCATGATTCTGTCCTCCTGCTGCACCGCTCTGAGCTCCGTTGTGCTGCCCGCGCTGCGTTCCTCTCTGCCGAGGAACGTCAGGGAACTGGTTATTCCCTGTGGAGACAGGTGCGGGGGCAGCTTCTCCAGGAAAAGCCCTGTTAGCTCTGGGTGACAGTGCTGGGTGTCTGCCCAGAGGGGCTCCCCACAGGAGCGTGGGAAAGCGGAGCCCCCCTGGCCAGATCCGCCCGCCCTTCCCTGGGGGAAATGGAGCATAATATGCAGGCTCCTAATGCAACCCTGGCCGGCAGCTGCTGCTTGAAAGCTTTGCGCTGGGCTGGCATTAAAAAATTATAAATCTGTAAGAAAAAAAAATAACACTTTTGGAGAACTCAGCAGGGAAGCCAGTTCTGTGCCCAGTGATGGCTGAAAGGGAAGGGGGATTAGGAAGGGAGCGACTTCTTGCACTGGAGCTACCTGCGGGTGCCAAGTCCCAGCCTGAATTCATGTTTGGTAACCAAAGGCCAGCAGCCCAACCTACTTCCCTAATTTTTGAGGTCCTATGATCTTCCAATCCAGCAAATGTCTCACTCTTCCAGCCACTGTCCTCCAACAGCAGCATTTGGGGCAAAGGGAGTGGGAGCCCATTCTACGTAAATTAAATGGACTTCATGAAGAAGAGGTTAGGATGACTTTTCAAAAACAAAGTTAGGATGACTTCTAAAAACCATCTGTTCTCCTAAGAGCTGCCCATGCTAGTAGGTATTCAATGGTTCAAAGCTGTTTGCTCATCAGAGGAGTCTTTCTAACATAACCTGTGCGAGGCCACAGAGATTGATGTGGATGAAAAGAAACAACTCTTCAGGTCCCTGAAGAGATCTTGGTGGGTATCCACTATGTGGGTATTCCAGCACCTGGGACAAACGTGGTCTCTGTCTCATTGCTCTCAGCACCATGTGTATCCTTGGGAATGTCCATCCTGAAAGACTGAGCTGTGCTTGGATGCTTGAAGATCTTGGGGAGATGCTTGGAGAATGCATTGGGCTGTGGCAAGCAGCAAACATCTATTCATGCAAGCCTCGTCACTGTGTCCAGCCCTTCGTCTTGCACAAGATGCATACAAAAGGCTGAGTGACCATAAATGTGTCCCTTGAAGCAAATTATGGAAGACATTATTGGAAGGCGGGTTCCTAGCCAGCGTTCCCAGCTTGAAAGGAATGAATTCCTTTCAAAGGATGTGGGAAAGCCCCACTGAGACCAATGGGGAGGATCCTTGGACTTCTCTAGCCACATTTGATTTGGTGTCCCAACTGCTGCTTTTTAATATTATTTTTTGCTTTCCTATTTTCATAAAGCAGTTAGAAGATAATTTGAAAAGGAAATGCTCCAGTTTGAAGTCTTTTCACTGTGAGAACGTGATCCATGGATCTAAGTGATCCATGAAAAATCAGCAAAAAATGTTTGGACAGATTCAGTTGTAGCAGGGCAGCGATCAGCACTCAGGTTATGAGAATTTGTATACTGCCCATCCTGGGACCGATGGGAAAATATGTTCCCATATTCTCCACCTCAAAAGGAAAACAAAAAATCACTAGTGAACAGATATGGACTTGCAGTGAGTTCCTACAGACATCAACTGGCATTAATAAGAACTGAGCACACTAATGGTCAAGAAAGACTTCTCATCCAGTGGAACACCTGTGTGCTGCCTTCCGCTTAAGACACCTGTGCAACAACAGCACGTTGTTATAGTGGTTGTTGTTGTGGCATCACTTGACTTCAGGTACTGGCTTTCCACTAAGATGGATAGAAAGAGAATAATTCGTAGTATTTCTCTGCATCTTGGAATTTTAGCAAATGATTGGGATTGTAGGAAATCATTGCTCCAAGCACTCCTGTCCAAGAGGTGAGGATGAGCAGAGGAAGTGGGAAGAAACAAGTTCTGATCCATATGAGGGCAATGACATTAAGGGTGGATGTGAAACATGGTTGTTATCCAAAGAGAAGAACCTGCAGATGCGTCACCACATGGGCAGGGATGGACACGTGGACTAGAAGAGAAGCTGTGACCTGAGCTAAGAACCGCGGCACCTCCTGCCCAGCTCGATGTTGAGTCCACAACTTGGGGGGTTTTGTCTCTGCCACCAAGGCCTGATCCATGAAGCACCTGCACAGGAGGCATGTCTGCCCATCAGGAGCCTCTTGCTCAGAATACGTCAATGGGTGACATGTGAGAACCAGTCCTTCAACCAGCTTGGAAATCCAAGCCATAGATTCCAAGCATTTCCCTATTTTATTGTTTCCCCGACTACAGAGGGAGGAAAATTAATTCCCCATGTAATTCCATTGAAATCTGGCGTGTGAGCTGAGAGACTGCATTTGTTTAAGTCCACACCAATATTTATGAGATGAATTTTGGCCCACAACGTGTTGGCTGATGGCCCTTTATCGGGAGATGAACTGGATTGCTTCAGCGGGAAGATTCCCCGGCCAGTGGGAGTGATGGTGGGGAATGAGGAGAGGAGAGGAGAGGAGAGGAGAGGAGAGGAGAAGGGGAGAGAGGAGAGGAGAGGAGAAGGGAGGAGAGGAGAGGAGAGGAGAGGAGAGGAGAGGAGAGA